CTGATATTGGGAAAAATAGCACATAGAGAGGCAAGGGGCATTTTCTTTCTTCATATCCTGCTCTAGAGAACACTTTAAGTGTTTACATTATATTGTATAAAAATCATACGGTCGCTATCACTGACCACCTCTCGAAATGGGAAACCGGCTATTAAACACTACACAATGTGTCAAGGCCAGTGAGGGGCAGCAGTACGGACCTGGGTCAATGTGCAAACTTTCTGCTTCTCCTGTTCACGTGAAAGCTACAGATAGGTAGATCTCAGCCTGGTTGTCACAGCATGGCTGGCATTATATCATGGGGAGCCCCGGATCTCAGTCTCTGGTGCTAAGTTGAGGGTGGCAGGTCCTTGGCCAAATGGATGGGGAACTCATTGTGAGGCGGGGAATCGCATGATTTCTGAATAGGAGTACGGGTGACTCTTAGCTCAAGTATCTTACCTAATAGGGCTCTTTATCTGGTGTAGTGACTCAGATTTTTATTCTTAAGAGGTCTTAGTGGTATCACTTTATTGTGCTATGGAAATCCTCGACAGACTGCTATTAATAGTCATTAAAATTTTGAGAACCAGTTTCTGTGAATTCTGTTTTTCCCTGGATATCAGAATTGATAACCTAGCTACATACTTGCCCATTTGTCTTATGGCTGAGTCCTTTCTCAGGAATGAAGACTTCTGAGCAACCAAAATTCAAGATTGCCTAATCAGATATGAAAACTCACATTCTGACAGAATCTTGCTGTGTAGTTCAGGCTGGCCTGGGAATTGCTACGTAACTCAGGTTGACCTTGAACTCTCAGTCTTCCTGTGTTAGCTACCAAGTACTGTGATTACAGGTGTGTGTTACTGCAGCTGGCTCAAAAGTAAATACTGAGTACAAGCTGTTAGTAGAGGGCAGCCCATGCCCCTACCCTTATATTTGGAAACCACCTATTCTAATTCTAGGGTGGAAACCATATCTTCATTGGGGCCTAAAGCATAAACTACATCGTGTAGGACTGCAGCCTGATCTTGCAGATAGTTGTCCTTCAACTATCGTTTTCTTCAGGATGTATCCCACAATTCCCCTTTAGGTCAATTACTTCTGAACAATATGGCAAATGAGCCTAGCTCTGCATGTCTGTGATGGTTTCAAAATATGTTTGTTGGTCAAAAGCAGGATTATGTGGGATGCAGATTCAGAAAAGGACCCAGTACATTGTGTAAATCCACAGAATATACACTGGTAGGTGGAAAATTTGTACAGAGAAAAGGAGTCACAGCAATTCGTATTCCTCAACACAAATCAGGAAGACCTTGCATTTCTTTGGGCCTGGACTATGTCCTCCAGGGCATCTGCAGTTCTCCCTGGCTGTGCTGGAACTGACCTCCTGTAATAACCTGGAGGCACAGAAGCAGAGGGGCTGGGTCTTAACTGAAGCATTTCCTTTCCTAGGTTCAGTAAAGCTGTAGCAGAGATTTTAAGCAAGGGAGGGTACACATTTTTCAAACGGTCAGAATAGGGGAATATTCCCATAGATCAGAGAAATTGGAAACAGTCCGTGTATTTATAACACTTAGCTGCCTCTGAGATCCACTCCAATGTGCCCATGGGTAGATTCCAACACCAAAGGAAGGTGGCTTTGAATATTGCTCACTATGCAGCTGTGGGAGGGGCCCAGGGACCTTCTCCCCAGGGAGCTATCTGAGCAGGGACTCTATTTTGTGAGGGAATGCCAGGAAGTCATCATGCCCTAGGGGTTAGATGACATTTAAAGTTGCTTCTTGGGGGTGGGGCTGGAATCAGACCAGTTTGTACTAGTTGTTTTGATACTGTTAATAGGATCAGTCACTACTTTTTGCTGGGAATTTACCTCTCTCACCTCCCTGAGGGACCCACAACAATGGTTTCA